GAATCACAGGATGTGCTGAGAGACTCCGGGGTGGGGTGGGGGTCGGGCTTGGGGGGTGATGTGAATGCCGAGCCTCCCTGATGTGGAGTGGTGCGGTCGGGCGCCGTTTGTACTTTCCAGGAAACCTTTGATGTGTAGCGTGTGTGTGTGTGTGTGTGTGTGTGTGTGTGTGTGTGTGTGTGTGTTTGATGGTGGGTTAAACTGTTTATTGGCTGCAGTTAAAAAGAGAGAGAGAGTAGCACGAGGATTCAAGTTTATTTCTCAAAGTAACCACAAGTGAAAAAAAATGTTAAAACAGGGTTTTTTTCAGTCTGTGCCAAAACTGAAAACAGCAGTGATGTCGAGACAATCAAGATGTATGTTTAATTGTGGTCTCACTGTCCTGTTAATAAGAAACAAGTCAAAGAAACAGCACACACTAAACATACCTAATAAAGCTTCAACACAAATGGGGATTGGCATATTTTACGAATGAGGTACATGCTAACCAAAAGAAACAAGGTGGCATTACTAATGAGAAATATAAAGAAACCGATGCGATGGAAAACTGTTAGAAAACCGACAACATGTGGGTGAAAGTGGGGACAAGTGAAAAGTCTGGCAAACTTTTTACTAGAGAGAGACATGTTTTATATGTATATACTTTAAGAAGGCAACAGGGGTGTGGTGGTTAGAGCCACCTGGTTCCAGCCTTCTGGTTGGAGTTTGCATTGGTTCTCTACTCTAATGCATTGCTGGTTTCCTCCCACAGTGAAGAAGCAACTTGTGTATGGCTACCTGTGCTACCTGTCCAGTGTGTACCCTGTGGCAACTGGGATAGGCTCCAAACCCCACCCACCCCCGGAGATGGATGGCTATACACTCAAAATTATGTGGAACACAGAGCAACACCTTCATAAAGGTTTTGTATGCCTTTTCAATTACCTGTGTATAATACTCGTTTCAATTATGCAAACCTTTCCCCTCAATTAAATGTTCTTGTAGATATAATCTACTATATTAATGCCTCACAAAACTTTTTGTCACACCATCAGTAAATAAACTTAGTTATCTTAAATTTTTTAAAAAAAAGTAAAATTACAAGAATGAACTGAATTGAAAAGAAAATACAAATACAGATAAACTAAATAAACTACAATAAGGAGCTTAATAGGTAGAAATGTAACCACAAGAAGTACAGGTATTGTGCTATGAGGTGGTGAAAAGTAGTGACTGAGTTATCTTATAGATAGGCTGTATTCTCCATGGAAATAATAATAAGCAGGTGAGATTCGAGTGTGTCTGTACATAACTTGTTTTTGCTGTATTTTTCTGAATATGTTAGCCACCGCTGATTTAAAATTTGTTTCACTTCGTAAAACATGCGAAAAAAGATGAGTAAACGCCCCCTGATGTCAGTATTAATCACTAACTGACGTTTTCTTGTTGTTTTTCTACTTTAATAAGTGTATCTATCCTCATAGGAAGAGGCCTAATTGATACCTGACTGACGTAAATGAGCGCTGCGAGTCAAGCCGCTCTCGCGCCTCTCTCTATCCGCAAGATTCGACGTGAAGTCACCACGGCAGCGGCGCGCTATAACGGTCTCCCAGGCAACGCCGCGTGCTGCAGTGACGCCAGCCCGGGTCCCGGCTCGTGGTGAGTGGGGGCGTGACTCGCCACGTTTGCCCCCCCCCCCCTCCTCCCTCCCTCCTCGTCCCCCGTCAGTGTGGGCGGGCCCCGCTAAAGAAGAGAACGAGCGAAACACGACACTCCGAGGACGGAGAGAGGCACGGGGGGAGGAGAGAGTGAGCGCCGAGTGGTGCGAGAGTGAGTGGAAGACTGAAAAAGTCCGTGAAGAAAGAGAGGTTCCTTTTTAACGTTAATTTCTGTCAGAGAAGTAAGGCGGGTTCGCGGCGGAGAAATGTCAAACAGCGACGAAGATGCGGTTGAGACGGAGTAAACAGCTACCGGACAGTTAGCGAAAGAAGTTGTTGGAAGAGAAGAGAACGACACTTTTCGCCTGGCTCGAGTCGGGACTGTTGACCGTCTTTCTTGAGCAACTTGAGCAGATTTGAGGCTGCGAGTTACGGGACGAGAGGACCTACGAGGTGCGGGCATAAACCGAGTCCTACTTGTGAGATAGCTGGTTTAGGACCGCACCGAGAGATAGAGGTTGGGGGGAGAGAGTGCCCGGCGGCGGCTTAACGAATAGAGAGAGCCGCTGGAGCTGAAGCTGTAAAAGTTTGCCTCGTATCTTCAGCGAGTTCTTGACGAGATTGGAAAGCAGAGCGGGAGGAAGAGGCCGAAAGACTGACTTTTCTTTCCACAAGCAGCTTTGTGGAATTTTCCCAGTTTAGCAAACTTTAGCTGTCCTGCCGAAGAGCTAAAGCGGAAAGAATGAAAACACCTGGAGATACTGGTAAGCTTTCGCCTCTCCCCTTATTACGGTTATTTTATTATTTCTTTTTTTACTTCCAGAGGCTGTAGTCTGCAAAGCTCCACTGTAACTACCGGCACATAGCTGATTGACTAACAAGGCAAGACAGTTAACCACCCGCTTCCAGCCTGAAAGCCACAAATGAAAACCTGTTGATTTGACTCGTTTCTCACGAGCGGCGCAGCAGCCAGTGGTTTCGCTTGATAAGTAATAGCAATCTGGTCCAGGTTAGTACTGTACTCCAGTTTTAAGAGGAAGTGGTTAAACTACTGTACAGTGGTGAAAGCGACATCCTCCGTGTCACCCAGACAACCTGATTTCTCCATCCAGAAACTTTCAGAGAGCTCAGTAAAAATCCTAGAAGCACAATCTCTACGAGATGATGAGGGAGCAGTGTTCAGGTGATTGGATGAAGGCAGGTATGCTCGTAGCAACGTGATATTAACTCAGTAAGGAGCATTGTCAGGTCTGTCACGGTGTTTGAAGTGAGGAGTGTGTGTGTGTGTTGGGGGGGATTCCCAGCAGTCAGCTGAGGTCTGTATGGGTGTCTGTTTGTCTAATTCCTGAAATGCTTGCATAAGTTTGTTCTTGTTGCTCCCTTTCTCTATTGAAGCCAGTGAATTTTTTTTCTCTGCACAAAAGAGGAAGTGGAAGTACACTCGTGTGCCATCTATGCATTTTATTATTTGAGGACTAGCCATAAAGTGTGTGCCTTAAACTGTTCTTTCTCCATTCACAAAGCTACTATTTGTTTCAGCAAAAGTGAAGAGATTTGAGGTTCAAGAGAGAGTGGATAACATCTGAAAGTATATCTCAGTCAATTATACTGCAGTGTTTAGCGTTTTGCACGATTTTTATCTTAGTATTGTTGTGCTTAAATCAAAATGCCCGCACCAAATAGACTGAAAAGACAGCAATAACAAGGAACTAGAGCCTGAGTAGTCTCATAACTTACAAATAGTAAGCAAATAATCTGATGCCTTGTCCAAGCTTTAGAAACAAACACTTATTATTAAATAATTTTAATAATAACCGTGTATCTGCATCTTTAATAAGTGTGCTCTGCTGCCAGAACAATGTGGTGACTTTCTAAGCATTTGGCGTGGGGGCATGTCAAGCAGTGCAGGACACTTCCCACTCGGGACCCCTTCCCCCACCATCAGCCCCTTTACCCTCCACATTCCTACACACACACACA